CACAAGGGGTTCCGTGCAGTGTCCCGTTGCGGGCCCCCACCAACGGCGCTGCCGAACCTAGGACCTCGAGGTCCGGTAACGGGGGCTGGCACCGGATTGATCGGATGAGGTGACCTGGTGCAGATAGGGGAGGGCGCGTGTAGAGCCCGCATCAGATTGACCCCGGAGTTCGCCAAGCCGGCAACCCACCGCTCGTAGATGCGGTTGTTTGCTGACGCTGATGGGGGTCAGCGAACGGCGCGACGGAGGGCGGCTCATCGGAGGAGAGGAGATGAAGGGGATGACGGTGAGAGGAGAGTGAGGAGGAGTGCTGTGAAAGGAAGAGGGCGGTGACAGGGGATGGAGGGGGAGTTATGAGACGTCCCGTCTCGTCTTCCGCGCTTCCTGAAGCATGCAACGAGGAGCCACGCGTGGCCGCGCTCAGCCTGGTTGTGGAAAAACTGCTGAGTCGACTGTAGCTCACCCGCCTGGCCCGAGACTGCTTTAAGTTCCGTGCGGGCCGGGATGTGGGTGCAACCCAGGCAACCAAACAGCTGGTTTTCGTCCCGCACGGGCCTGGTTGACCCATATACGAGCATAGAGGACTAAAATATAGGACCAAAACGCGGGCCTAGTTCACCCAAAGCTGACACTATTCATAGTCGAAATTGTCCTGTTCTAATCTCTAATTGTAGATCGAGTTTTCAGCTGAATTTTTTTGGAGTTTAGACCTAACCGACATGTATGTTGTAAATTATTTTCAAAAAAAATTGGATTGTGTAAATGTGAATTTTTTGGATCTCACCTAAGAGCATCTCCGGCCGCGCCCCCAAGATCCCCCCCAAGGCCATTTTTTGTGCCGGCGCCGAAAAATCGGCCCAGTCGCGCCCCCAGGATCTCGATTATCGCCGGTTTGGACCGAAATAACAGCCGGCGTACCCGAGCCGAACCCAAGCCCCCCGGAGGGGCGCCTGGGAGCGTTGGCCGAAGCGAAATGGCGCGTGGCTCCGCTCTGTCGACGAGACAAAGACCTTTTCCCGTCGATCACCCCGCTTTCCCCCCTCCGTTTCCCTCCATCTCCCACTTCTCCCGCCTTCTCCCGCCATTCTCCTTCCTCTCCCCTCCATCCGGCCGCCATGCCACCGAAGAAGTACGCTGCCCCTCGCGCCGCCATCAATGGCAGCGCCGCCCATCCGAAGCAGAGGAAGCAGAGGGCGCCGCCGTCCAAGCCCCCGGGCATGTCAAACGCTGACTCGAAGGCGGAGGTTCAGCGCCGGGAGGCTGTCACCACCGACCAGCGGAACAGGCTCAACACCAAGAAGGCCCGAGGTAGGGTGGCCCTGGGGGCAGCGGCTGCCTTGGCCGCACAGGCGGATCGCACGACGGAACAGGCCGAGGCGTATCGCGCGGGGATGATGAATCCACCCGGTGGCCACGGCCCGCACGCCTGGAGCCAGCAGGGCGTCGGATAGCCGACTGGATTCCCGGTGTCTCCCTAGGGCTACGCACTGATACATCTCCAATGTATCTATAATTTTTTATTATTCCATGCTATTATATTATCTATTTTGGATGTTTTATATGCATTAATATGCTATTTTATATGATTTTTTGGACTAACCTATTAACCTAGAGCCCAGTGCCAGTTTCTGTTTTTCCTTGTTTTAGAGTTTCGCAGAAAAGGAATACCAAGCGGAGTCCAAACGGAATAAAACTTTCGCGGTGATTTTTCTTGGACCAGAAGACACCCAAGAGACTTGGAGTGCAAGTCAGAAGAGCCACGAGGCGGCCACAAGGGTGTAGGGCGCGCCCCCAACCTTGTGGGCCCCTCGGTGACCTCTTGACCTAGATCTTCCTCCTATATATACTCATATACCCCAAAACTTCTAGGGGAGCCATGAAACCACTTCTCCACCACCGCAACCTTCTATACCCGTGAGATCCCATCTTGGGGCCTTTTCCGGTGTCCTGTCGGAGGGGGATTCGATCACGGAGGGCTTCTACATCAACACCATTGCCTCTCTGATGAAGCGTGAGTAGTTTACCATAGACCTACGGGTCCATAGCAAGTAGCTAGATGGCTTCTTCTCTCTCTTTGATTCTCAATACAAAGTTCTCCTCGATGTTCTTGGAGATCTATTTGATGTAATACTCTTTCGCGGTGTGTTTGCCGAGATCTGATGAATTGTGGATTTATGATCAACTTATTTATGAATATTTTTTGAATCTCCTTTGAATTATTATATGCATGATTCGATATCTTTGCAAGTCTCTTCGAACTATTGATTTGGTTTGGCCAACTAGATTGGTTTTTCTTGCAATGGGAGAAGTGCTTAGTTTTGGGTTCAATCTTGCGGTGCTCGATCCTAGTGACAGAAGGGGAACCGACACGTATTGTATTGTTGTCATCGAGGATAAAAATATGGGGTTTTCATCATATTGTTTGAGTTAATTCCTCTAGATCATGTCACCTTGCTTAACTTAATACTCTAGATGCATGCTGGATATCGGTCGATCTGTGGAGTAATAGTAGTAGATGCAAAATCGTTTCGGTCTACTTGACGCGGGCGTGATGCCTATGTTCATGATCATTGTCTTAGATATCGTCATAACTTTGCGCTTTTCTATCAATTGCTTGGCAGTAATTTGTTCACCCATCGTAATAATTTCTTTCTTGAGAGAAGCCTCTAGTGAAACCTATGGCCCCCGGGTCTATTTTTCATTATATAAGTTTCTGATCTACACTTTTAGTTTCCTACTTACTTTCTTTGCAATCTTTTATTTTCTGTTCCATAAATCAAAAATACCAAAACATTACTTTTTCATTTATCTATCTCTATCAGATCTCACGTTGCAAATAACCGTGAAGGGATTGACAACCCCTTTATCGTGTTGGGTGCAAGTTGGTGTTTGTTTGTGCAGATATTCGGTGGCTTACGCATTGTCTCCTACTGGATTGATACCATGGTTCTCAAAACTGAGGGAAATACTTACTCTACTTTGCTGCACCACCCTTTCCTCTTCAAGAAAAAAACCAACGCAAAATCAAGAGGTAGCACGCGCCCTCGCCTGGCTACGCCGACGGCGACGCGCACGGCGGGTTCAACCCCAACATCACCTTTCCACATGGCCACCCCGCCCAGCGCATGCCCTCGCCTGCGTTCGCCGGCGTCCACTACCCCCCGTACATCTACTCCCCACCAGCTTACGCATCCTCCCTGACGCCACCTTTGCGCCGTGGCGGGCTCTTCTCACAAGGCTCGTCGTCGCATCTCGGCAACCCCGACGCGACGAAGGCCGACATGGACGACATCATCACGACTAGCTCGGCTGCCGCTCGGCCTCCCCTGGCTTAAATGCCCAAGAAGATACAATGGACCTCAACGGCGACATGGACGACGAGCTCAACTACGGTGAGGAGGAGCCGGAGGAGGAGGAGGAGGAGGACCCGGCGCTTGCCCCGGCGAGGAGAGGGAAAAAGAAGAAATGTGCGCCCAGGACCGGCGAGCCGCACGTCAAGTGGACGTCCAAAGAAGACGAGTGCCTCGCTGAAGCGTGGAAGATCGTCTGCCTCGACCCGATCACCGGCACAAACCAAAGCGCCGACACGTACTGGGAGCACGTCAAGTCGGAGTTCGACAAACGCAAACTGGTCGACCCATACTTCGTCGGCGCACCCTCGCCAAGGCCAAGGAGGCCTACAAGCCGGGCACGCCGACGACGAGCGCCCCGACGACAACAAACGGGCCAAGGCGACGAAACACGCCGAGCCGGCTACCGCCGTCTGCAAGAGTCCATCGAGCATTGCATGGCCGACGCCAACACCCGGGCCGCCCAGAGGGAAGAGAAAATCGAGGCGCGATGGTCGACGTTGATGACGAACATCGCCGTCAAGCTCGACCTTCTCCGGACCAACGTCGCCGCGAAGAAGAGGAACACCGACCTGGCTTTCCTGATGTGGGGAGGAGGGGGACATGCTCCGGAGCGACGACGAGCAGCTCAAGGAGTGGTACCTGGCGGAGCGCGGCCTCATCCTGAACCAGATGCCGTTGGCGGCGGCGCCAACTCCCACGCGGACCCCAACGCCGCCGCCAAGCCCGAGCGATGATGCCTCCATGACACCCAGCACTGAAGCCACGCCGACGCCGACCAGCCCGCGCACGCCGACTCCTCCGACTCCGGAGGTTGACACCACCATTTGATGCATTGCCGACGCGTCCTTTCTTTTGCACGCCGAACTTTTTATTGATCGCCGAACTGTGGCAAGGTGATCGCCGATCGCCGAGACTTTTGTGGCGCTGATCGCCGGACTTGTGGCGTTTTTTGGGTAGTGGGAATGGACCAAGTTTGAATTTACGACGCCTTGGGGGCGGCACCTGGGGGCGTGGCTGGAACCTAGATCGCCCCCAGG